ATTGAGTATTATGATGATCGACACGACTAACCATAACGATGAGAACTTTACACCTGGGATCCATAGCTCCGCTCGTCCACCATTTCGTTCCATTGATAATGTACGAGTCTCCTTCTCTATTAACCAAATTTCACGAAATCTCTTATTTTAGCTTATTTCCACTTTCGAATTGTAATCATCACAAAGCTGTACCTTCTAATAGAGCATTCTATATTGGTTGCATCAGAGGATGCAACTTGTGGCTCTGTCATTGCGAATCCTGAACGGATCTTCCCTAAAAGCAATGGGACAAGCCATTTAAGTTGCTGCTCTTTGCTTCCATACCGCAGCAATACCTGTAAGAAACACAGAAGTTTTAAGGCTCTGAATCCACAGTGCTAGTAACTAAGAGCACTATAGAGTATAGACAAAACCAGTACTGACTGCTTTAACTGTCAGCAAAGAAGAGAGGGAGGAGAAAATGATGAAGAAGAAGAAAGGGAGCGACTTTTTTGTTTTATGAACATAGAATTAGACCTTAGAGAAAGGTTTGATGCAAATAAGTAACAGAGAAGACTGTTTAAGGGCAACTAGCACATGCAAAGAAGCATTTGACTTAGAAAAATGGGAAGATAATGGATATCAAACACGGGAATCAATCATTTTCTGCCGTTAAAGGATTAGAAAGTTAAAAAAATTTACCTCCATATTTCCAGTGTCAGGGGCACCACAATTGAAAACCTGTGGCGCCCATATGGAACGACCCATGATCTCACACAGGTAGCCATATTCAAGATTTGAGAGGCCAGCTCCAAGTAATTGATCATGATGACCATCACTTGAGGGAAAAGTATTGCTCCCATCGAATATTAGCTTCTTTGCTCTTTCGGCACTATCAAACTGCAAAAGAAGCACAGGGGAATCAGTGGGTTTCAAAATATAAGTTAATAGAACTGAGTAGAAAAATGAAACAATAACAAATAAGGGATAGAGGTCTACAGGTATAAACAAGTTCCATAATCCCTCTTTCTTTGCTAGCTCCTTCAACCTCTCCTCTTCAGGGTGGACTGTCCAGCGTGAGGGAGACTGAGCAAGTTTATAGAATTCATTTTCCATGGGATAAATGCGTTCTTCCATGAACTTAATTATCTTTTGCCTCAGTTCCAGCACTTTTCTTGAAGGAACAAACCTCCCACTTTCTGACATAAGGGCTTGAGCATCATGAGCGGCTGGATCTGCATCATAGAGAAGCAAACACATCATGTAAATGCATACGGAAACTTCAAAATTCCAGGTCAATCAAAACAGCCAGACCATACCATATGGCGAGCGTTCAGGAAGCACGGAGCTCCTGGATATAAACTCCAAAGCAGCATCTATAAGACCATTGGCCAGTCTTCCAGCATTGCGAGCACGCTCACCCCCAGAAGCATTACCCTGCATCATCATGACACCAAAATATCACTTCTTGACTGCCAATTTAATAACAAAAATTGACGCCATCTTGAAACAAGGCAGAAGTCTCTCTTCCCATAATTACCATTATCCATCGACTATGGACACCGGCATAGATAGAAGCTCCACGGAACATGGCGAAGGCGACATAAAACTTCCAGTTACTGGCAGGCCATGGTCTTCCCTACATGGCCACATTTCAATAGTTTTATGATACAGCAAAACTCAACAGAAACAAAATACATGATCGCTTGGAGAGATCCTCCAGCTACAGGCTTAACATGACATTCATACTTCCTTTACATTTCAGATACTTCAGATTTGGAGAAACAATTATCCAAATAAATTAACTTAGCTCAATCTGGTAGGATAGTGGCTATTTTAGACATTAGCTGCAGGAGTTATGATGGCCTTACCGATGCAGCACAATACTCAGCAAGATATTCTACTTGTGAAGGAATCCCTTCAGGAAGGTCGTATTCCAATCCTTTACCAATTTGTTCGTTAGAAAGGTCGATGTTTACAATATGAGCCTGCCCAGGAAAACCGAAAGTAAACAAATTAAATGAGAAGAGCACGATGAAATTCGTTATTCTCTATAAACCAACAACTTATCAGCTCTACTTTTAGTAGATTGGTAGATAGTAGCACAGTACCATACAGCAGTAAGCAACATCGCTCATCTGGTTCCCAAGTGTGGACAACTCCCAGTCCAGAATACCAATCACTCGATCCTGCAATGGTTCATGAAAGATAGCCTTCAGATACAGTAAGACGCCAACATCTCTCCCTATAAAAGATTCGATGAACATCACAGTAATGGGCATTGCCATTGCCATCTAATTAGGATCCATAACAGAAGCATCAAAATACCTCAGAGGGATGAAACACAAGGTTGTCGATACGGAAGTCCCCATGAACCAGTCCTGTTGCTGTCCCTGAAGAATCTTCCTCGGGAATGTTTTTGTGCAACCAATCCGAAAGTTCGAAAATCCCGATATATCTTGGAGACTTCCCTTCACCAGTCGATGCCATGTATTGTTTAGCCCATCTATCCACCTAAAACACAAGTAGTTTCACAACCCTTGCAGGATAGAGTCACCAATATGAAATATCTCATATCCAGTAACTTCACTCACCTGTCTTTTACAGTAGTTATCCCGGCGCCCATATTTCCCTAGACCGATTGCATCCACATTCGCAGAATGCATAGCAGCCAATGCTCTAGCCGTTTCTCTATAGATTGCCCTCCTGCTGGCAGGTGCAACCCCCTAAACCAAAACAATGATCCATTGCCACAAATTCGCAATACAATCAAAGAGAATGTAACGAAACTCGAATCAAACAAGTGAAAGAGAATGATTCGTGGTACCGGAAGCTTAGGGTCAATAAAAATGCGGCCTTCCAAATACTCCATAATATAGAACGCAGTTCCAATCACACTCGGGTCCATACACAAACAGAACGCCTTCGGTACCGGAACTCCCGTATTATCCCCCAGAGCTCGAAGAACCTTCCAGGCAATCAATAGTTCGAAGTATCAAACACTAGCTTATCTTGAGAAATTTGACTGAAAACTGCAAATCGAACTTCAAACAAAGCTACAACTGTGTCAAGTTATTAGACCTGGTACTCTCTATCGACGGCATGAGCAGACGGCAGCAAAGTTCCAGAAGGCTTCTTCCTCAACACATAGCGTTTCAACGAAGCTCCGGTGCCGGCTTCCAGCAGAAACGTCGGATTGGATTGCCCATGCCCAAACTAACAGCAGTCCAGAAACACTCGAAATTCAGCAAGCATACCCCGGAAACAGCCGGACCGAAGAGGTGTTTTATAATTAGACGGAGAGAGAGAGGGAGACCTGCTTGACGGAGAAGGTGGAAGGCGGCGAGTCGGGGAAACCGGCGACGTTCGCCGCAGCGTACCGGAACAAGGCGGCGCGATCGAACTGGTGACCTGCCTGGACTTCGCCGACGAGATCGGATGTCCGACTAGACATGACGGACAAAAATTTTCCCCCCGATCGAAATGGAAAGAGTGGAGAAGATGGAGGAGAGTTCGATTTACAGAGCTGAAAATTGCTAGGTGGTTGACGATTGAACCATTTTCATGATTAGTCGTGTTCTCCAGACTCCATTTATGGCTTCGCCGATGAAACCAATCTTGGGCAGCGCCAGGTGAATGTGGAGAGGTGTGCTGTTCACGCGCTGAACGAACTCTTTACTGACGGGAAAGCCAGTCGTGTGAAGCGGGCGAGTGGGTGTCACTCGCTCTTGGCTGCTGTGGGGCTTGGTACAATGGGTGTAAACGGGATAGGCAGTGATGTAAACGGATATACCTAAACTGACAGTAGCCGGTACCGGATCCGGTCATTGTTTGCCGCCGCGGGCAGACGGGCAGTTCCCAAAAATTTGAAGTAGGCCAGGCCCAAATCACAGTGCAACTGAGCCCTTTTGAAAAAGTTGCATATTTGAATGTGAAGCCCAGGAGACGGAGATGAAAGGTAAGAAATTAGCCCAATTATAATGGACTGCATCAGCCCATCATTGTTAATAACCTGGCACGGGAACACGGAGTGGGTGGAGACTGGAGACTGGAGAGTCTCTCTCTCTTGCCTTCAATCTCAAGCAAAAAGGGTAATAGTATCCCACCCTGGTTACAAGGGAAAATAGGATATTGGTATGTGATAATATATTTAACCAAGGAATTTTGGAAATCTCTAATACTACTAGTTAGATTAAACCTATGAGCTTATGTAATTCCAAGATTATGAATTGATTTTCATTTAGAATGGGTTAGTTCAGAAAATTGAGCAAAGGTGTGTCTATGTACGAGACTAATATCATTAAATTATGTCTTGCGTAAGTTCAACATAATCTTTACAAATGATGTTATTTACGAACTTCTTTTTGAAGAAATGACTAAAATAACATGTGATTGTGATCCAACGACATCAGTTAGTCGGGCTTCGCCCCTTTCAACCTCGTGTTAAAAATCGTTTGAAGGGGTGAGCAGATGAAGATGACATTATAGCCAGTGATGTCACTCAGATAGCTCATGCTGAGATGAGTAGAGAGAATCTTTGACAAAAAAAAAAGCCTTAAATACCATCCCACCACAGAAAATATTGAGAAAGCAAGGATGAAGTTGAATCAACTAAAGCAAGTTACTAACTCAGCATTAGATTCATTCATCCCTCCAAGCTGAAGCAGATATTGAATGTCTTTTCTTTCTCTTCTCCAGAACCCTATAGAAACTCTTGACTGGAATAAAGGACTTGAGGTGGAAAAACCCCATTGAAATTCCCATCATGCATGTTATCTTGTTTCAACCTTCATTTCAGGAATCTATGCAGTTTGAGCATACTTCTGCAATTTTAAGCTAGCTGCTGGTGAATGGCGTCTAATATTGCTCTCTGCTGTCACATGGACTTATTCTTGTTGTGATTTTAACCCAAATAGGCAGGGGAAGGAGGGCATTGATGGATGGATGATGAACTTTAAGCCATTTCAGCAGTTTTTCTATATAAGCAGCACTGACCCTTCTCAAGAAAAGCATCAAACCAAGGCAGAAATTAATCCTCCTTACAGAGATTTCTGATGGCACAGCATGAGGCTGCAGAGCTATTCCCTAGAAATGGAAGGGAGGAGAAGCTCCGAAAAGGCGGTGGTGGGACGAGGGAAGATGATGTGATTGGAAGAGCTGGGTTAGAAGGGTTTGCTGATATAGACAAGTACTTCCCTTCCAGGAAGAGAAACCAAGTTCCTGCTTTGGTAATTGACAGCAATTTTGCAGCACAGATCTATGGTGGCAAGGCTATTGTGAGCTATCCCAAGGGGAGGAAACCAAGTGGCCAGTAATGGGTTTTAAATGGTCATTAAGTTATTCATATGCTATGTGAAATCTGTGTAATTTTCTGCTGCAATCCATGGTCCTGTTGGTAATTCATCAGGTGTCATTGTAGCAGCTTTTTTTTTTTTTTGATGAAGGTGAGGATTGCATTGAAAAAGAAAAAGGTTTGAAACAAAGGGCACCAGGGGTGCACCAAAGCGAAAAGAAGAAAACGGGCGGAGCACCCAAACAAACAAAGTCAAACGAGGGTCCAAGGAACCCCGAACGAAAACCAAAGGCCAAAACAGAAGGCCAGCCCAACAGAAAAAGGAAACCAGATCCGACGAACAAAACACGACAGCAAAAACAAAGGCTACCCCAACCAGCCAGCTGCGAGCATCACAGCGAAACCAGCAGAAAAAGGATCAACCACCAAGGACTAACTGATATGATGTCGAAACCACTGGAGCCAGCCAACAACCAAGTTCCGATCAATTTTCCCATTAGCAACAATCCATCTCGTGATGTTGTTGATAGATCTTGCGGCAAGCTGCTCTGGATTGGAAGAGATATTGTGGAAAATCCTTCGATTACGTTCAAGCCAAATAAACCAGGAGACACCATGGAAAGCACAATATTTCACCCAGCCTTCAAGGTTGTTCGAAGTTGTAGCAGGCCAATCTTCAATAGTAGACATCAGATTAGCTCCTGAGGGCCAAGAGGAAAATCTGCATCCCTTCTTAATTACGTTCCAAACATTCCTGGTGAAGCTGCAGCTAATCAGAATATGCTCGGCCGATTCCTCCCCCATGCAACAAAGCTCGCAGCGGTTAGCTCATTGTAGCAGCTTTTTGTTTCTGTAGTTTTTGTGTAATGTTCATGGGGGCAAATAATGTAGAAGCTGATGTGGTGGGTTTTCTACTTTTCCAAGACCATGAATGTCCTCCTTCCATATTACTACTGGGTTGGGAGTTTTTGCCTAGTGTTCTGGTTTCAATTCACAACAGCACAACAGCTCTTAAAAAGAGCCAAAGCAGGCAAAGCAGGAAACCTCTTAAAGGAACTCTTTAACATCTTGCATGTATGATGAATACTTCGAGAATATTGTACGAATATTTTAATTGTATTAAGTAGATAGTATAAGATTAACAATTGAATTCTTTTCAATAACACGGCCTCTAAAATGAAAATCAGCTAATATATTGATTTCAAGTTTGCACATATTTGAATATTTCGTGATTAACATTGGGGTTATTGATATCGCGATTCGAACACAAGACCTCTCGATCATCAACAACTCTCATACAATATCAACAAATTAGGGATTGTACAGAGACATACTTCCACTCCACCATAACTCTAATATGAATAAGGAAAATACCCTAAATTCTAGTATCACAACTTGTTAGATATACGTTAATTGAGGGTTTGTTTGTTAATTGGACGTTTTATGTTATGTCAGATATTCGGGAACTATTGGGGTTAAATCGGTTAGGTTAAGTCTTTGGGTAGTTATAGGGAATTAGTCGGATTTTATATATATATATATATATATATATATATATATATATATATTATGTGTTAGGCCTAAGCTAGGGTTAAGCAATAACAACAGAATTATTCCCTAAACACATTCTCTCCCTATCTCTTGCCGAGCCCCCTTCCTCTCTCTCTCTCTACCCGTCGGCCACCATCCCGATGACCGGATTCCTCTTCCTCTCAACCCTAATTCCTATTCTACCTCACCCAGATCCCCAGTTCTCATACCAATCGCAATCCCTAATCGCACACCTAGATCCGTGCTCTTTCAGTGGTATCAGAGCCTGGCTGGTGCGCCGATTCTCTGAAGAAACACTGCAATCCGAAGATGTCAAGCCCTACGGACAAACAGCAACCGCCGCGCCAGAACAAGGAGGTCGTGACGATCAAGGATGTGACGAGTACAAGTATGATGTGATGGCAGCATCGTTAGAAAGCCTGACGGAGGTGACTGTGAGGGCAGTTGAGGCCTCGAGGGGCTCGATCGGGGCAATCGAAACCGCCTAGCGGCGGTGATGAGGCGGGGACGACGCGGGGCTCAGCCGCGACGGGCGGCGCACCGGGGAGCTCGACCATGCCGCGCAGCCGCGCCGTGGAGCAGGGAGACCTGGGCGCGATGAGCGCGCCAGAGCCAGTGTTCAGTGGTCTGGGCTTGCTGCCAACGCCGACGGATCAGGCCCATGGAAAGCAGAAGATGGTGAGGTACGAAGGAGAGCCGTGGCCGACTGGGCCCGACGGAGAGGACCCATGGCCGATTGGGCCAGGGGAGGAGGACGAGGCCGAGGTTGTCGGGACATTGGACAGGGATCTGGGACCAAACCAGAGTACGGCGGAAACCACCAGGAGATGACAGCGACTGGCCCTATTCTTACCAGCAGCCAGCCGAGGGTAGCTACTACCATCAGGGCCCGATGAATCGACAGCCACCGCCGAACACAGACAGGTATGGATACAGTACCCCCCTGTATGATGCTGAAGATGAACTGGTATTTAGAGCTAAACCGCCAGTGATAGAGTTTCCAAAGTTCGATGGGTCGGGAGATGTGGGCTTATGGCTTTATGCAGCAGAGAGGTGGTTCAGGAACCATTCGATCCGAGAAGAGTGGAAGGTGCACCTGACATCCTTCTATCTTGAGGGAGATGCCCTCTAGTGGTGGGAATGGACCGAGAGAGCTTATGCGGCAGCAGGTGAGGTCATATCGTGGGCCCGGTTCCAGGACGAGATGCGCTATCAGTTTGGCAAGGCGGAGGGATGGGCTCCGGAACAGCTAGCCAAGCTCAGACAGACGGGTTCGGTGGCCGAGTATCGCACGGAGTTCCTTAAGCTGGGAAACCAGTGCAAGGAAATGACAGAGGAGACCTTGGTGGGATTGTGTATGGCGGGACTCCGTCCCGAGCTGGCAACGGCCATTAAGGTTTTTGAACCTTACTCTCTTCGAGTTGCTTTCAAGATTGCAGGGCGCAAGGAAGAGGAGTTGGCTAGCTGGAGGACTTCGGCGGGGCGTATCCAGAAGGCCAGTGGAGGAATGGGAGCGGGAGCAGCTGGTACCGCACCACCGCCGGGAAATGCAAGCCCGGCGGCCACTGGAGCCGCGCCGGGGAACAGGTTTCAGATAAGGCTGCCGCCAAAGGGGTTTGTGCGACTAACTTAGGCGGAAATGGACCAGAAGCACAGAGACGATCGTTGTTTCAACTGCGACGAAAGGTACACGGTGGGGCACCAATGCACCAAGGGACATCTAATGCTGCTTGTTGGGAACTGGGAAGACGAAGGTGAGGAAATGGAGGCGCGAGAAGCGGAAGGGAAGAAAGAAGAGAAGAAAGAAGGTCCACCTTGAGGGCAAGGTGGGTTTCAAGGGGGATGAGATGTTAGATATACGTTAATTGGGGGTTTATTTGTTAATTGGACGTTTTATGTTATGTCTAATATTTCGGGAACTATTGGGGTTAAATCGGTTAGGTTAAGTCTTTGGGTAGTTATAGGGAATTAGTCGGATTATATATATTATGTGTTAGGCCTAAACTAGGGCTAAGCAATAACAACAGAATTATTCCCTAAACACATTTTCTCCCTATCTCTTGTCGAGCCCCCTTCCTCTCTTTTTCTACCCGTCGACCACCATCCCGGTGACCGGATTCCTCTTCCTCTCAACCCTAATTCCTATTCTACCTCACCCAAATCCCCAATTCTCATACCAATCGGAATCCCTAATCGCACACCTAAATCCGTGCTCTTTCACAACTCTAACAAATTATCCATGAACACAACGAAAAAGGACTTAAATTGATAAAGCTAATTACAAGTGTTCCTCTAACAAACTTTTAGTTGAGTTAGAGATAACACAATTGAATTATTATATTACAAAGAATTTTGTGGTCGCAATTAGGTATTGATAGAGAAGATATGTATCTCCCGCCTTTGCATTTAACTTTAGGAGGAAGAATATCATCAACCCTAATACGATGTTGATTTAAAGATAACACTATTTAATGATTATATCACAAAGAATTGTGTAGTCGCAATTCCTAATGTCCGCCGGTATATGTATCTCCCTCCTTTGTCCTTTCCCTTCAACTTCAAGCAGGGAGGGAAGATATCATCAACCCTACCAAACCCTTCTAGCTATATACCTTGGTGTCCCATATAGATAAGCAAAGAATATGGTTCCAAAACCGCCCTTAAAATATAGGCAACACAATCTTGTAGCATCCCTTTGTCAAAAGAATCCCTGTAAAAAAAAAGTTAAATACACTTGTATATCCAAAACTTTCACGGTTGTGCCAATAATATCCAAATTTCCCGAAATACCACTTATATCCATGTTTTCAAGTTGTTCTATGCCAAATCTATCCATTTCCCAATATATTTATGGTTAAATACACTTGTATATCCAAAAACACCGTTAAAGAATGTGAAGGAATTGGATATAAGCGGTATTTCGGGAAATTTGAATATTATTGGCACAACCGTGAAAGTTTTGGATATACAAGTGTATTTAACCAAAAAAAATTCAACTTACCTTCCAAGTTCCACCTCACAATATCCTTCTGCTTCAGATACATCTCCAAATCCCAAGTAGCTATCAGGGCAAAGAAGTGATGGATAAAAGGGCATCTGGTTCTTTTCCAAGATTCTTGAAACTTTGCAAAGAAATGGAAGATCTTTCAGCCAGGGAGTACAATAATTTGCAGAAAGATTCTTGGGAAGGTGGGAGTGGAGAATGCCCTGGTGGGGTTTCCTTATAGGTATGTGGAAATCATGGTGGCTGGATTTTTTTTCCCAAGGTAAAAGTTTTAGGCAGAATTGATATGGCAATTGGCCAAAGTCCAATACTTTGAATTAGACTAATCGAAAGAAAGAACCAGAATAAAGGGTCACCTATATAGTACAGTATATATCTGGTATATGTTATAGTAGTTTAGTGGCAAAAGTTACCCTAGTTGATATACTGACGAGTCAAATTGGTCTTACTAAATACAACTCACAAAATAGAGGGGGAAAGGAATTGCTCGTGACATCAATCGTTATGAAATTCGACCATATCCAAAACTTGAAAATAGTTATGAGAGTAAACATATTGTTATGAATGAAAACGTTTAGTAGCTTATATGTTAGGTTTCGGAGTTTTTTTCTTCGTGAGAAATGTCAAGAGAAAAGAATATTAGAAGAAAAAAAAATACTCCAACCGATTTATACCCTCTAAAATAAAGGCCAACAAAAATCTGATTATAGACGACTCTAATTTAAAACGAAAAAACCAATAATATTTTACGTGTCATTCTATAGACAGTTCAGACTCTACCTTGATGAACCAATCCTAAAGACTATAAAGAACCGACTACCACTAGAAAAACGAAGACCGTAATCAAGCTGACATAATGGAGTTCAAGAAGCTCTCTTATTAAATATGGTTAGGTTTTGAATTTACATTGATGAAATCTCTCACATTAAACATGATTTAGTTACTACTCACTGGTATTATTAACCATTTAACAAACTCTAATGTAATTATGAGGAATTTATTCTTGAAAAGCAAGTTAGCTTTAGATATACTAAAGTCTCCCCCTCAAAGTTGCTAAGAATCCGATAAAGTTGAATCACTTTAGAACACAGATGTGGCTGAAGCTTTCAGTTATAAACAGGTACTCTAGCTACTATATAAGAAGATCAAACCGTTACCATTTCTATCACAAACCAACAGCAAACCAACAAAACAGAACCAAAAAAAAAAGTCCTAGAAAAAACCCCCCAACAAATCCATGGCACCTCAAGGAGACAGGCTTGCGATGATCGGAGACGAAGCTTTCTCACTGATCGACAAACACTTCTACGCCGGCGGCCAAGTCGACAGCCGCCACAAAACCCATCAGTACCGCCGCACTTACCATTATGCATCACAGTACCAAAACCAGCAGCAGAAGGAGCAGCAGCCCTGCGTTTACTACGGGCCGAGGACTGCGACGGTGACGGTAAAGGTGCCGGCGGCGACGGAGGCGACGCGGTACTACTACGGCGGGAGCATTAATCAACCGGCTGCCAGCAGCTGGGAGGAGCAGCAGCCGCCGGTGATGACGTGTGACGAGGCGGCCCAGAAGTTTGGTGGGCTCGTGATTGCGGATCACGGAGCAAGGAGCAGGAAGCGTTCTTCTCAGTTGGGCTTTTAATGGGCTCAGGTGAGGAGGGAAAAGCAAAGCCTGCTAAAGCTGTGACAGAGTGACTGAGCTTTTTTTTAATTTGTCAGCTGTGTTACTGCTCTGAGAAGATAATTAAGTATCAGATTAGCAGTGTGTCTTAAGTTAGTAAGCTTTTTCTTTTTCTTCTTCTTTTCTTGATGCTGGTGTGTGTGCTTCTGTTATAATTTAGCTAGTGTGCTCAGAAAGAAATTTGTAAATGTGTCTTTGTTAGTTAAGCAGGTACTTATATACTGCTTGGTATGTAGTGCAAAAAAATGTATTGATAGACCATAATTTTATGCGATGGTTTTTAACGTCTTAGTCTTTCGTTGTTTTAATTTGGATTTAAACTGCATTAATCATTAGGTCAGATTGAAGGCTAATAATAATATCACTAGAAAACCCCCTTAATCCCCAAGATTGGAAAAGTCAGAGTTTGCCATGAAGCACAAGAACTCGAACTAAATCAAGATTGTTCAAAATCAAACACTATTCTGAGGTTATGTTCTTATTCTTCACAAAATTCCCATTGTTCGCAAAGCACCATGAACCGAAAAGCATTATAATTAAAGCTTGAATTATAAGGTATATTTTGATGTCCAAAACGGTAATTAAACTTGACACTAAAACAAAACAGTGATTTAGTGACGGTTTTCTGCTCTGTTAGCGACAGTCAAACCCGTCGCTAATTCATTTAATGACGCTCACCCGACCGTCACAGACCCAGCAGTCCTTAAATTTTTTCGGACGCTTTTGGTCGACCGTCGCGCTGACCGTCGACAAACATTAGCGATGCTGATAACCGTCGTTAAATATTATAAAACCGTCGTTAAATAAATAGCGCGAAAGAAAGATTAAATTACATAACAACGGTTTCGACCGTCACTAATGGTAACTGACCGCCGCAAAATGAGCTATTCTTTTTTTTTTTTTTAATCACCTGCTCTTAGACCACCCACAGCGTGGGTTGGTTTTGTGGGAAAAAGGGGAAATGTGACCACAATGTGGGGGGAATAGGGAATTAAATGGGTTTTGTGGGTTTAGTGGGTGGGAAAACCCACCAGATGAGACAAATGGTGGGGGGAAAGGGGAAGGGGTGGGGCCCACTTCAGTTTGTTTTTATTTTATTTTTTTGTTATTATTTTAATGATTTAGTGTTTGTTTTTAGGGTTTAGTGTTTATTTGTTTGTTTTTATTTCTTCTTAATTATGTTTATGTTCAACTATCAATGTAACAACTTTCTTGTATAAATTATTGCGATTTCGTCATTAATGACGTTAATTAGTGATGAAAAAAATTATGTCCAAATTAGAAAAAAAATTATATCAAAATGTTCGTATTCATTAATTATCACTAACTATGTAAAAATAATGATCATTATATAAAAATAAAGTGTTGAAATCAATTATAAATTGATTTTACGAAAAAAAGTGTTCAACCAATTACCCCTTTTTCCCACACCAACATTGTGACCAAACCCTCTCATTTTCCCCCTTTTTCCTCTTTTCCCACCTTTCCCACCCTCCCACATTGTGGATGGTCTTATACACACCTCAAATCTGTTGAAATTTTCTCCAATACCAACATTTAGCAAATTTAACTAAGAAAACCATTCTGACTTTGAATAACCAAATCAACAACTTAAACCCCCAATCAACAATATAAACCATCAGTGAACATTCCTTCAATTCAAAAACCAAGTTCCATGTTCGACATTCTACCAAAATTTTAAAACTATACCTAAAGAAGTTGCTTACAGTCCTACGTTATAGCCACCATAACTCCCACTTACAGTCCCCCTCAGCTCCTTGTACCACCAAATCCAGCACTGTGCAAACTAGTAGATCAACTTCTTTTGTTAATTGGAAGCCCTGCATGAACAGTTGAACACCCCATTCAGATCTCACTTAATTACCTAAGTAATCAACCATCAAAACTGGAAGTTATTAGAGATATTTATGAAGACGAATGAACTACCACGGAGACCGTCATTTTCTGCTTGTTGTTTCGAAATACGCCAATGTCTTCTTTGCTTGAAAGTACCTGCATTCAAACATGAAAAGATAAACAGCTTTTTAGAAAGCACTCCTACACCTCGATTGTTCAAAACAGTGCTAAATGATCCCATATTTTTTTCCCTTCTTCAAATATCCTATAACCTTCTGGATTCTCTCCTTCCCATTTATGAAACACGAACAGTAGCCTGCTTGTCCATGCCACGAGTATGAATTAAACTCAGGCAAACACTTGAACAAAAAAAGCATAAAAAGGAAATATAGAAGATAAGTAGAGAACTCACTTGAAACGCAAAGTACCATGGAGTACTTTTTTTTAGATAAATAATGAAGGGGCCTCAAGAATCTGCAAATTGTGATCTCTTACTCAATGAACTAAGAGTTGTTTTTGTAGGATAACATTCATTAGAAGATGAATGCAATTCAGTTTACCTTCATGTCTTGGCAGGAAGCTGAGGAAGCAATCTGAGTTGATAAATCTGTACAAAGACCCTGAAATATATAACAAATGGAAACTACAGTTTAGCTAGAAGGAGGGAACCCTTCAAAATTAGACAACATAAATTTCCTGATGAGTGACTAACACAGACTGAGTAAGTAGGGTAATAATATGAGCAAGTCTAGGCAGTGAATTCGTGGGTTTGAAAAAGGGTGCTGCAAAATAAAACATGGTAGTGGTATAGTAGCAAGGTAATGAACCCCCCAATGGGTTTGCATAAACATCTACGTTCGAACAGTCAAGTCATAATCAAGAGAAACAAGAACAAACTTGAAAAAAATAATCAAAATGATAAGGGAATCCAGAACATACAAGATATCAACCTATTCCATTGTTGTAAGCCTTCCTTTCTCTGTATTAGAGATGTAGGTATGGTGGTTTCTCCTGCAATTTTAAACCCAATTTTCAAATAAAATCAGCAAAACCCAGCACAAGATCATATTCATCCAAAAGAAAATATCAAGTACTAACTATGGGGCTGTGATGGGAATTGACTAAACCTATACATAACAACTTTCAACTAAACAGTGACTGTAAGAACATATCAAGTACTGACTAGTTTATTGTCACTAGTAGATCAAGCTCACCAATAAATAGAATACGAAGCTGTTTATCTCCCTTGGGAATGCTCACAGAATTAGATCATCTTAGGGTTTCACATCCATGTTAGCAAGGATAATCACCTTGATTGATCTTATCCTGAAGGCAACAGAGCAAATTATCATACATTTATAAACATAGATCTAGATATAAATCTACATGTAAATTCAAATAATGATAGCTTCAGACTTCCATCAAGGTAGTACCTCTTTGAAATTAAATAGAGCAACAAAAGCCAAAATAGATTGAACCCCAAAAATCACAAACTCACCATGGATAGCTCTGGCAATCAACACTACAAATTATGCATGGCAGCTTGAATTGGAGACGATGAAGCTATAGAATTGGGTGAGAGGTTCTGGTAGCAGTACCTTGAACAGTGAATTAGTACATGGCCATCATATATATCTATCAAACTTTGAATCACTTTGCTGCAAGAAAGAAAAAAGTCATGCTGATTACTAACACTTGCAAGCTTAGGGAAATTTAAGTAAATGTAATCAACTAGACCTAGTAAATTATAAATGTAAACTAAGTTTATATAGCATAATTATTTGAAAGCTGTAGACAAATAATGCAATCTTCAGGCAAAGAAAGGCTACCTGAATATGTGGATTTGATAAGCAGACAATCTGTACCATCTAAGTACAGCTTGTTGTGTACCAGAAGTAGACTTAATCTGCAATCAACATGACCCACGAAAGGCAAGATTCATTAGATAGGGCCTTGGAAGGCAAACATAAACTCACACTGGCATAACAAATTAGTTTAAGAATCAATTTCCGTACCAGAATATGATGCATTGATGATTTGATGCAGTGGCACTGTTACATGTCCTATTTGTCACATTTTATTTTCATTGGGATTGTTTTGTAAATTCCCTATCAAGTCCGCGTAGCTTTGGTAGAAGCGGACTCTCTTACCTTCTCTTCTCTCTTTTAAGGGTTAAGACTCTCGGCTGTAAACCCTAACAATCATAATCATAATCTCATCGATCCTGAGAGTGAAAACTCTCCGTGGAGTAGTCCCGTTCACATCGAACGGGGAAACCACGTAAATCTCGTTGTGTCTTTGCTTTGATTTACGTTTTCTTCATGGTATCAGAGCTGTGATACGATTCCACAGCTTTCTCAAGCATGGCCGGTGAAGATCACACGACCTCTAGCAGCAGTAGCGACTCCAAAGCTGCTGTCTCATCGTCACCCTTCTTTCTCCATCAATCAGACAGCCCAAGCTATTTATATGCGGGCGAGTTGCTCACTGAGCTCAACTACAGTGAATGGATCGGTGATATCACTGATTCTCTATTGGCCAAAAACAAACTAGGGTTTGTGGATGGTTCCATCTTAGCTCCTACGGATCCAGCTCAACTCAACGCGTGGAAACAATGTGACGCCATGGTGAAAGGCTGGCTGAAGACGTCCATGAGTAAAGATGTACGTAGTAGCGTACGTTTTGCCAAAACAGCTCGTGAAATATGGATGGATCTTGAAGCCAGGTTCGGCCATGGCAGTGCACCACGACTCTACCAGCTGCGTCGCACGATCGGAGCTCTTCACCAAGAAAAATCCTCGGTTGCCGCATATTACACTAAGCTCCGTGGTTACTGGGATGAAGTTGCGTCCCTAGCTCCCTCGCTTGAGTGTACCTGTAACAAGTGCACTTGCGATGTCCAGAGGCGTTCGCGTGAAGTACGTGAAGTGGAACGACTCTTCGATTTTCTCATGGGACTTGAGGAAGTCTTCTCGACAATCAAATCCCAGATTCTCGCTATGAAACCACTTCCGAGCGTTGCCGAGGCTTATCACATGATTGTTAACGATGAGCAGCAACGCCAAGTGGCTAATCTTCGCCGTCCGCAGGCTGAAGCGGCGGTCTTCCAAGCAAGGGGTGAACGGCGATCAGGTCCTGGGCGTTCTCCATCGTCGGGGCAAGGGGAGCGGGATGCTGACGGCCGCCCTTATTGTAATCATTGCCAAAAATCAGGCCATTTTCGTGAGACTTGCTTCAAGCTACATGGCTATCCGCCGAAGTCGGGAGAGAAGCCCGATCAGTCCAAGAAACGCCCATTCACTTCGGCACCTAAGGCAGCTCAGGTGGATAGCGCATCTAGTCCCATTCCAGGACTCACGGCCACTCAATTTGCACAATTGAAGTCTCTTCTTGAAGTTGATCCCCAAGCTTCCTCGTCCACGCCACTTGATCCCATCTCAAATATGGCAGGTATGATCTCTCTTTCCAAAGACTCGTGGGTTATTGACAGTGGTTGTAATGAGCATATTGTGAATAACCAGTCTTTATTGTCCGAGGAACACGATCGTTCTCCTGTTCTTCAGGTTCGTATACCGAACGGCATGGGTGTACCAGTTCGCAGTATAGGGTCGTCAAAATTATCTAATGATCTTATGCTTCGAAGGGTTTTACACGTGCCAGAATTTCAGTGCAACTTACTCTCAGTCAGTAGACTCACGGCTGATCTCCCGGTGGCCTTAATATTTCTCCGCGACTTTTGTGTTATTCAGGACTTACCCTCCAGGAAGCTGATTGGGATGGGACATCATCGTGACGGTCTTTATTATCTTCGCCTCTTTGACGAGACGCATGCGTTGGCCAATTCTGTTCGGCAGGCAGTTGATCATTCTGTTCTTTGGCACACACGCCTCGGGCATCCATCAGAGGCCAAGTTTCATCATTTGCAGCGATTCCTTTCGAGTTCAGTTATTCATCCTACTGAACCTTGTCATTCCTGTCTTAGAGCTAAACATACTCGAGCGCCTTTTGTTCCCAGTACTATCCAGACAAAGAATTGTTTCGAGTTGATTCACATTGATGTTTGGGGTAGTTATAAAGTGGCATCTATGTCCGGTGCTCGGTTTTTCTTGACTATCGTGGATGATTTCAGCCGTGCTGTTTGGATTTTCTTATTAAAGTACAAGTCAGATGTTGCTCGTCACTTGCAGTTCTTTTGTAATATGGTTAAAACACAATTTGGTAAGCGTGTTTGTCGTATTCAAGGGGATAATGCGCCTGAATTTGCTACTGCCGAATTGAAACTCTATTATGAGACAGAAGGTATTCTTTTACAAACATCTTGTACTGATACTCCCCAACAGAATGGGGTGGTTGAACGCAAACACCGGCATCTTCTGGATACAGCCCGGGCTCTTCGGTTTCATGCTAATCTGCCATTACGTTTCTGGGGTGAGTGTGTTTTGACGGCAGCTTATCTCATTAATCGGATGCCTTTGGTTTCCATCGGCAATCAAACCCCGTTTCAGGTGTTATTCGGGAAAGATCCTTCATATGATCATCTTCGCAGTTTTGGGTGCATGGTCTATGCTCGGGATAATCATCATGATTTACATAAGTTTGGCGACAGGGGGCGTGCAGGTATTTTCTTGGGCTATCCGGCTGCTCAACGTGGATATCGCATTTACGATTTGGAGCGCAAAGTCATCTATACCTCTCGAGATGTTCGTTTTCTGGAACATATTTTTCCATACCGTTCCGAAGAGTCTCCTGCTCAGCAAGCAGCTCGGGCTGCTCATCCTCACTTCCCTCCTTGTGTTCATGACGAGGAGGATGCTTTTCTTAATCCTCCTGTTGCTGATCCGTCCTCTTTGGAATCCCCAACTTCCTCACTTGGTCATTCTCCCCCAGCCGTGTCGCCCTCCACTCCGACTTCTTCACCATCTTCCATGCCGCGATCGGTCCCAGTCCCTCCTGCTCGCGATCCCACATCACCCACTCCCAGTTTACACAGCCCCGGGTCCGAGACTCCCTCTCCGACGTCGTCTACCGGCTCTGCTTCTTCACCCTCTAGCGCTCCTTCCCCTCCAGCTTCTCTGGAGCCCACTCGCTGCCCTCCACCAGTTCGTAAGAGTACAAGGGTCCGCATCCCTTCTACTCGTCTGCATGGGTTTGACGTGACGTTACCCGGCCGTCCCCATGCATCACGTGAGCCTCATACTTCTCAGGTCACGTACCCACTTGAAGATTACTTGCATAATCATCGTTTGTCTCCTGCTCATACAGCCTTTGTAGCTGCTGTTACTCTCATCGAAGAACCCAAGTTCTTCCATCAAGCTGTACGTCATAAACACTGGCGTGACGCCATGCAAGCCGAAATCACAGCCCAGGAAGTCAATGGCACTTGGACTTTGGAGTATCTTCCACCGGGCATGAAGGCCATCGACTGCAAGTGGGTTTTCAAAGTTAAATTCAAACCCGATGGGTCTGTTGAACGCTACAAGGCACGTTTAGTGGCCAAGGGCTTCACTCAAGTTGAAGGGATCGATTATCACGATACCTTTGCACCAGTAGCTAAACTTGTGACGGTACGTTGTTTGCTTGCCGTAGCTGCTGTTCGTGGTTGGCACATCCATCAGTTGGATGTAAATAATGCCTTCCTTCATGGTGACTTGACTGAGGAAGTTTACATGAAGGTTCCTCCCGGATTTTCTCGTCCTGGTGATACGCGAGTTTGTCGCCTACGCAAATCTATTTATGGTTTGCGTCAGGCCTCTCGTAATTGGTATCAGAAGTTCACCCAAGCTCTTCAGGAACTCCAGTTTACTCCCAGTCGCGCTGATCATTCTCTTTTTGTATATCGTCAGGGGGCGGTATTCGTTGTTGCCCTCATCTATGTTGATGATGTCATTCTTGCTGGCACCGACATGGATTTCATTCAACGGGTTAAGGATTTTCTTCACGCCCGTTTTACTATCAAAGATCTCGGTCCCCTGAAATACTTTCTCGGTATTGAGGTGGCTCGCTCTCCGCAGGGTCTCGTTCTTAATCAACGCAAATATGTCTTGGACATATTAGCTGATTCTGGTATGGAAGCCACTCGTCCATGTGCTACTCCCATTGAGCAGAATCATCAGCTTGGCCGATCTCCCTCCGCACCTGCTCTTGATCCGGCATCTTATCGTCGTTTAGTTGGTCGTCTGTTGTATCTTACGGTCACTCGTCCGGATATCACCTATGCTGTTAATGTTCTCAGTCAGGCTGTTCATGCTCCTACTCAGGCCCACATGGATGCTGCATTCCGTGTACTCCGTTATCTCAAAGCATCCCCTGGGCGTGGTCTTTTCCTTCCCGCCTCTGGTTCACTTTCTCTGACGGCTTACTGTGATGCCGATTGGGGAGGTTGTCCTCTCACACGGCGGTCTACTACTGGTTATTTTATCACTCTCGGCTCGTCTCCGATTTCTTGGCGTACTAAGAAACAGTCGGTTGTTGCTCGTTCATCTGCTGAAGCGGAATATAGGGCCATGGCTACCACTGTCAGTGAACTGATTTGGCTTCGTTGGCTTCTTCGTGATATGGGTGTTTGTCTGGACACTCCTACTCCTCTCTACTGTGACAATCAGGCTGCTCTCCACAT